GGGCAATTAAGTCAAGCGCAGGAAAGTGCGTGAATCGTTCATTGAGAATTATAGCATGTGTTTAAGTGACTGTGGAAATTAAGTGTATTGCAAAATTGTATTGAGAAAGAATAAACTAGTTTTATTTAAGAAAGGACTTATATCGCTGAAGTTCTTCGGAAATAATTTTTAGGAGTAATTAACTAACGACCACAGATGTAACAATATTTTATTTTCCATCGTGCCTGTTAGAGTTTTACTTTTGCATTGTGGATTTGATACAGATACTTCTCTATACGTCAGTTTAACTTATAGTCAGTTTCTTGTTACCTTTTTACCCCTGAAAGTTGAAGAGGCCTGGAGCCAGGAGTGGACTTATAGTTAGCCTACCAAGTTGTGGAATGAATGGCCACTTGATAATGCTAAAATCATTCTGCACTTTCATCTGTGGGGTAGTAATGAAAGTGACTAGTAAACCCCATTATTCGGTTCAAAGCCTTGGTTGGCTATCTCCATATATTTAGGGAGTACACGTGCTTGTCCCAAATTTTTGGAAATGACCCTCTGTATATGAAGTTGCTTATTTTATACTTCAGGACTTGTTCGGTTTTATACTGAATAATAGAAACACAGTTATACCAAAAAACATCTCTAATAGGGGTTTGTTTGTTTTAGAGCAAAGTCACATTGGGCCATCTGCTGTATCCACCACAGGAATTGAACCCCAGATTTTAGCATTGTAAGTAAACTTATCACTATCCCACAGGAGGACCTTTAATTAGGGACATTTAGGCATTGTTTCAAATTCTATTATCAGCATTGTAACCTCAAAAGTTAGTTCAGAATATTCTACCTACAAAATTATATGAAATTTGAAACATTATTACAATTAATAATGGACTACCACAGAAACAAACAAAAAACACTCAGTTGATATAATGATCAACCATTGTATAACCCACTCACCCTTTTCATTTCAAAAAGGTTCCTTTTTTTAATTGAAAATGTAGGAAAATACAATATTATGAAAAGTAAACTGTGATGAAAAATTAAATGAACTGAACTTGCATATATTTTTAGTGACCAACCACTCTTCACTGGACATGGCCATTCTAGAAGTTTGTACACCACAGATGTAGACAGTCCTCCCCCAAGACCACCTCCTCCTCAAATGGAAGGTAAATCCTTTTGTTAACAATTTAGAAAAAATTATGAAAGATGATTTTATTTAGATCATATATCTTAAGTTTAATTTCTTGAACAAATCCTTAGATTGAATGATTTTTTACACACAGAGTTATACATTTCACAATAGAGTTTAAAGTTATCTTGTTGGAGCTAGCACACAAGCTAATGTTTTATGTTGTATTAAACCACATTAAGAAATGAAAATATCACTTTACTAGTCTGAGAACTATAGTTACATACATTTATGTGTAAAAAATGATTATCTAAAACTAATATTAAAATATATTCATAGAAATACCAGGAAATTTCAGAAAAGATCATCATGATGAAGAACTTCCTTCAAGAAGAAGTAAAAATGTTTTGTAAGTGTAGATTAACACTTTGTAGGTAAGTTAGTATGTTACTTGGTCTTGTTTTTTGATGCTGACTTCTTTCCAAAATGATAGACTGAAAATGTAGTAGAAATTTATCTGTGAATCTTGCAAACTGTTAATATTTTTGTAATACTAGTTTCTTAGATGTAGAATAAACTGATATTTTTTAAACATCAAAATTAGGATTATTACATTTCTAATCCTCTTAGGCCTGATCCTCGGCTCATATCCTTCCAAAAAGATGGCAGTGTTGGAATAAGATTTACAGGAGGAAATGAAGCAGGGATTTTTGTGACAGCAGTCCAACCAGACAGTCCAGCTTCATTAAAAGGTCTGCAGCCAGGAGATAAAGTCCTCAAGGTAAAATTATCCACTACACATATACAAACGATCTAATTTATAACTCAAAAGAATATTGTAGTCAAATTATTTAATAACTGTATTTCAAATAAATTGCTAGTGATTCATGAAGTCTTGTTTTT